AGGATGGCATCTTGAGGAGAAGCACTTCACCGTTGATGGAGAGCCCATTTCTGGTGGGCTGTTCGACTTTGGACTGTACTTCTTCCACAACGCACACGAGCTCGTCAAGCGCGGAGCGGGACCATACTTCTACCTGCCAAAGATGGAGTCGCATCTTGAGGCTAGGCTGTGGAACGATGCATTCAACCTGGCGCAAGACTACATTGGCATGAGGCGCGGAACCATTCGCGGTACCGTCTTGATCGAGACCATCACCGCCGCTTTCGAGATGGATGAGGTACGTTGAGCACACCACCAACAAATCTGGATTACACTGACTGCTACATAGATCATCTACGAGCTCCGCGACCACTCCTCAGGTCTCAACTGCGGTCGCTGGGATTACATCTTCAGCACCATCAAGCGCTTCCGCCAGAACCCCAACTTCGTCCTCCCCGACCGCGACTCCGTCACCATGACCTCGCCCTTCATGGACGCCTACGTCAAGCTTCTCATCAAGACTTGCCACAGGCGCGGCGTACACGCCATGGGCGGTATGGCTGCTCAGATTCCGATCAAGACCGACCCGAAAGCAAACGATGCTGCCATGGCCAAGGTGCGCGCCGACAAGCTCCGCGAGGCACGCGCTGGCCACGACGGTACATGGGTAGCTCACCCAGCCCTTGCGGCTATCGCGAGCGAAGTCTTCAACGAGCACATGCCTACGCCCAACCAGATGCACGTCCGCCGCGAAGACGTCCACATCACTGCCAACGACCTCCTCAACATGAACGTGCCCGGCAAGGTCACCGAGGACGGCATTCGCAAGAACCTTGACATCGGTCTCAGCTACATGGAGGCCTGGGTCCGTGGTGTCGGCTGTGTACCCATCAACTACCTCATGGAGGACGCTGCTACAGCCGAGGTCTCAAGAAGTCAACTGTGGCAATGGACCAGGCACAACGTCGAAACTGCCGAGGGCAAGAAGGTGACCAAGGACTACGCGCTCAAGCTTCTGCACGAGCAGGCTAAGGCACTCAGCGACAAGGCACCAAAGGGCAACAAGTTCCATCTTGCGGCCAAGTACTTTGAGGGACAGGTCACTGGAGAGGACTACGCCGAGTTCTTGACATCGTAAGTTCAACACCCTTCTCCTTGCTTGAAACCACATGCTAACGATATCCCAGACTGCTCTACAACGAGATCACAAACGTAGGTGCGCCCAAAGGAGCCGCCAAGTTGTAGTCTACACTTTGCGTAACCTTCAGCTTTCTTTATGCCTCTGATATACCTTGTAACCTTATACCAATGTCCAGACCATGAGAGTCTGTAGCCAAAACGAATAAAGTTAATAAGCCTCACTACCACTACCCTGCTTGCACCCCATATCATTCAGGCATGTGAACGTAAGCTAACGCGGCTACCACAGGTCGGTTCCCCGGTTGCGGCCTCGAAACTGTAGGCGGGCGTGTGCCGAGGTATGATCCAGGCGCTCGGATGTACAGTGTATGGACGGTAAAGATGCGCTTGGGAAGAATTGTGATTAGTCTAGAGCGGAAGAGGGGGTGACATGTGAAAGGCCATTGCTCGAATAGTATATGATGAACACACGCACAGTCGGCCCCAGCCACATCATCGAATGTTTTACTTGTGATATACACGGTACCACTGCGATAGCAATGTGCCTTGGATGAGTTAACGACGTCTGATTATCCCGTAGCGGGGAAGAGTCTTGGTCATGTTGGGTCGACGATGAGGCGCAATGGAAACAAGAAGGTCTGCGGACAAGAACTTGAAAGAAAAGAACGTTCACATGAACATTTGAAACCCATGATTCGTAGTCTCGTGGTATCTAGAGAAGTGGCGTTATCATGCCGAGTGCATTCAGTGTCCCGCGACTATGCAGACCAGATACATGACTAAACACCCATTTTGACCTGACCAATGCACCGAAGAAGCCCCAAATATCACCCTTACTTCCTGAGCAGACGCTGGTAGAAAGCAAGCTCCTCGCCCTCGAGGACGTAGCCGTCGCAGCGACCGCTCTGGCCGGGACGGGAGGAAACAGCGGCGTACAGACGACCGGCCTCGAACTGCTTCTCAACAGCGTTCTCGATCTTTCCTCCGTTCTTCAAGCGGTCGGCCTGCTTCTTGGAGACCGAGTTGGACTTCTTCTTGTCCTCCTCCTTCTCACCGGCCTTGGCCTGCCTCCTGCGGCCGAGCGAAGAGCCGTAGTGGGCCTCGTACCATTGTCGGAAGGGAGCGGCATCGATCTGGACGATAGCGGAGCGGGTCAGGGTGTTGGTACGGACGAGCTCGTTGTTGGAGGGGTGGTAGACGACACCGATGACACGGGTCTTCTTGGCGATGCCCTCGGAGCCCCAGGAGAAGTTGCCGGCTTCGAGACGAAGAGCACGGAACTTGCGGTTGCCGCCACGAGTGCGGACAAGATGAACACGCTTTGTGCCAATACGGGTATTGGCAGGCTGGCGGCCCTTCTCGAAAGCCCTGAAGCCATGTTAGACATGACTAGAGAAGCGATCGGGTTATGCATACCTCTTCTTGCGGTAGTATGCGCGCTTCGCACCGGACGCGGAACGCTTGTGGCGAGAGTCTCGTGAGATACTGGCGAGTGTTAGTGGCTGCAGCGGAGTGGGGGTGAGGGAAGGATAGATACCCCATGATTGCGGTTGTTCAGAAGACGCTGTGTCCACAATCAAATTAGCCTTTGCTCTCAGTTGCAAGTCGACGAAGCCGCAGCATTGTTCCAGCTGCCCGAGACGTCCTCCGCCTTGTACTGCCTGCTGTGGGAGTGTAGATATCGAGCGACTCGCGTGCGACCATACAATCCATTGGCGGAGGCTGACGGCGGCGGAACATTCGCGGGGCAGCGTCGATGTCGCAATGCTGAACGGCTCCGTATAATCGAGTAGAGGACGTTGTGTATAGCGTACCTGATGTCGGGTCTCCTGGTGCAATCTGTGTTGTCGTTGGGGTTAGTTGGCGCTTGTCAGAAGTCGAAGAGGAAATTCACGAAACTCATTTTCGCAGCTGCGTTGGTGCCAAGATACGCTAGCAGTAAGCGAGTCCTCCGCCGCCCCATCGCTCCTGCCATCGCCAGGACATCTCAACGAACATTACCAGTACACATCACTTATGCGTGATAGTTACAAGTACGGTCTGCGCTGTTGGGAGCTCGATCACCGCCGACGCGCGTAACCCCCGACCGAAAGACAAGACGACCAGGAACGGAACACCACGCAAAGCCATCAATCACCACACCTGTGGACAGCATGGGAACGTCAGCCACAGATGGTCATCAGAAGGTTTGTCGTCTGGCTAAATTTTGAAAGGCCGCTTATCTGTCACGAAGTCGATGTTCCTCTTTCTTCGCTGCAACATGCTCCTCCGCCATCTCTATAGCTGCTAGCTACACATGGTTCGCCAAGATTGTATCTTTCTCAACGTCCACAGATGCTGCTGATCCTTTCATTGTATTGGATCGGGAGTACGGAAATCAACAGCCCCAGGAAATGCCAGTCTTTTTGCGAGAACGCGTGGTGACAGCAAGTATGATATGATGACGATCTCGCGGCCACAAGTGCTTGCGACAACAATCTCTACCGTTTGATCCTCATCACCCGGCTTTTTGCGTTGGTCCCTGAGTTCTATTAGATGTTTGACATCGAAAGCAGCTCAAAGATCTTCCCTCGGCCAACACATAAAGATCCGGTCCCTTGTGGAGCTCGGAGCGAGCGAAGCACGCACCGGCTACACGCATGAACCTCCCGGTATCACCCGTGAAAGCAGCTGCGTGATCAGGTTATCAACACTACAAAGACTCTTCCGTGCCCAGAAAGATGCGATCAGCAGGATAGTGAACGCGTGTCGAATGACCCTGGTGCGACATCGAGGGACGTTTCTAGCGAGCACCTAGAAACACCATACATGTCCTCACCACGTGCGTTCAACCTTGCATCGAAGGTTTATCGCCTGAATGGGCCCGGCTGAATGTCACATACGCCACCCGCGACGAGCGCTTCGAACGGGTCCTCCGCAACCTGCACGTTGGGTCGACAAGTCACCTTTACATTTGGGAAGTCATCGATAACGCTTGAGTGTTCAATAGCTGAGTTTCCTTGCGTCATCGAAAATGCATGTAAATCAAGCTTGTATTGAGATCCCAGGCTTGTACTACGGCTGTGTGACAGAACTTCGACGATCAAGCTCAGTCAATGTCACGTAAAGTTGCGATGAGCTGACGAAAACGCTGGAAATGACCAACACATCATGCGCATTATTGTGCTGCTCGGGCACATGGCATTTCTCCTCCAACCCTGTCCTAGAACTCCTTCGACCTGGTTAAAGACTTCTATCAGAAACCTGCGCGATCGCGATTCGTCCGTTCACAATAACCTCGTCAGTTTTGCAGGCAGCACGGGTATGGTACAGGGGTTGCGGCTCGCTAAGGTACCTGGAAGGAACCAGTCTCTGGTAAACATCCAGCCGACGTATAAGGTTGCGTTCCCGCTCCGGGTAAAGCCATCTCCGCATTCGGGCGTTTCCAATCGGCACAATCGTAACCCCAGAATCCAAGAAAGTCTAATCAATAGCAATCTAAGTAGATGTTGTGTACCACAGTCCTAGCCTTTATCTCAGTCACCGGCCATCTCCTCGGTATATGTAGGACGCGGAGATTTTGATTCATTACCTTTGATTGCTTGCTGAGATCCTGCATTAGGTGTATTGAGAAGGGTTGTCACCAGGGTGTAACGTAAGACTGTATCCTCTGTTCTTCGCAGTAACCACTTCCACATCATGGCTCTTTGAGAATACTCTGTATTTGAAGCCATCTTCATCATGTACTCCGGTGCCGACCTTCGGTTGTGTCATGTCTTGTGCCTATGTGCGACTTGGCTAGGCGTTACATCCGCGCTAGCACAGGCGGGTATGCATCAGGTGTTGGCCATCATAGGACACTAGAATCATTCGCGCTGACTTTCATACAGAGCTAGCCGACTATGGGTCAAATTCTGCCTCGGGAGTCCAGTACTCTGTGACAGCGGAACCAAGTGAGTGGCGCTGACTAGCCCAAAGTTCGATGGCTGATCTGACATGTCGTGTCTAATAGACTCCAATATTGGTGCACCCACATATCTTGCGCCTCCAGTAGACCCAACACCTCCCTCCAACGCGATACCTTCGCAGCGATCTGAACTCATTCACAGTGCTTCGCTCTCGGAGCCAAACTTCATACCCTCAACGCTAGCCCCGCCTGGAGCCATACCGACTGCACCATTGCCGATTTCGAACCCATTGCTCATTCCCACCGACGGACCGCCGACGGATGTGACGACTGTGTTGACCACGTCTCAAGGAAATGCCACAGGGACGCCGCCAATGCTGTCAACAGTTGAAGGGTTGAAACCAATTCCGCCTGCCGCGACACAAATCGGAGATCCGGATGGGCATCACGAAATCAGCGAGCCAAACTTCAGTTCTACGCGGCCGTGTCGAGGATGCTCGCCAGTGTTTGAGATACCTGCTACAGGGTGGCTGGATAACCCAGTCGGAGAGCAACATGGCTCCACTATACAAGAAGAACAGACACAAGCGGCAACAGCAGACCCTCCGCAGGTAACGATATCAGCTGGGATATCTGACATTGTTATTGGCCAAGCTCCAAGCCATGGTGACTTCGTGATAGGAAGTTCTTTTACTCTTACACCTGGTCAGATCGTTACCGTTGGGGACACACCTATTGTGGTAGAGACCTCAGAAGGCAAGACCAAGATTGTCGTGGGGACTACTGTCATCTCACTGCAACCTTTTCAACCTGCTATCACAGACGCGCCCATGTCGCAACCACCGGTCCTACTTCCACCAATACTCACCATCGGTACCGAAGTCATTGCGCCCAACGCGCAGACAGAATACGTCATTGCAGACCAAACTCTTTCTCCTGGCGGTGAGCCCCTGACTATATCCGGGACAACACTCATTCTTGCACCTTCCGGGACGGCACTCATCATCAACGGCGAAACATCCAGTATCACTCCAATGTTTGGTGACGTGTATACGTCCACAGTCGCGGCTGCCTTGACCTTCAAAGATCATGTGTATACGCCGAATCGCGCTGGCTACATTGTGATAAGTCCTGGCACGACTTTGGTGCCTGGAGGCGTCCCCGTTACAGTTGACGGCACAACGTTGAGCCTCGAGCATAGCGGAACTGCTGTAGTCGTCCAGGGCACTACAATGAGTCTTCAACCGGTCACGACAGTCGTCACATTGACCAAGGGGCCAGATGCGCTCGGGACAGGGTCGGATGGAGATGGCGGGAATGTCCACGGGCAGTCGACTGGCAACGGCTATGCCTACCCCACAGGAGAACCGATCATCGCGGGAGCGACACGAACTAGTAGTGCGATACCAGAAAATTGGCTGGGAAGCTTCCTGTTGCTGATATGGTGGGGTACGGGGTATCTTGCAGTCCGACTATGAAAGGGTTGGTGTATTCGCATAGATTGAACCTGTAGATCTTCGCGCGATAGATCTCTCAATGCATCCAGCGGCGTTTGAATTGGGATGTTGACCTAAACCACAATTGCGCGCGGATAGATCTTGGCCATTCTTGTGAACAAATGTGTCTATTCCTCAGGCTGGCGATTGCGATGGCTCCATGCTGATGACGAAAGAGCTGAGTGGTAGACGCTGGCGGGCGGCGCTGTAGGGTTGGCACACCGCGAAACTCGGAGTCACGATAGTCGTCAGATGACCCCTTCGTGGCATCGAGAAAGATCTGGCAGCACGATCGTGAGCTTGCGAAAAAAATCACTCACTTGCTGTCACACCACACCCCCTATCCACACCGTCGTCACGCGCCCCAGCGCTCACCGAACAAAAAATTCTCGTCGCCAAACCTCCAAAGGCATTTCTCTAACAGTTAACGGACATGCGCTCAAGGTAAAACACGGTCTTTACGTACAAACATCCACTCCCAGTGCAACAGCAGCGTCTAGACTAAAAGGACCGAAGCAAACTTGGCATCCGACGGGCAACTTGGGGGCGGGAAAGGGCCTGCGTGGATCAGGTACACGCCGTGGTGCGACGAAGCGTGGCAGCCAATAACAGAGATTTTCCCCGCCATACCTCCAAAGGCAGTCTTCTAGCAGCTAACGGACACGACCGAAAACTCGTCACCGCGCCTTTACACACACATGCGCCCTGCCAAAATTAGCCGCCGACGGGAAACGCTCCGGCGCGCCATCGGAAAAGACGCACCAGGGTAGGGCGTGGGCACCTCATTGTCATGATGATGGTGGCACGGGCCCTCTCACGCCCTGTGAAGGTGTTCGTTGACAAGAATTCAGTGGGTTTGTCAGCCCGCAGCCAATCAGACGGCCGCATGGCCTCAAATCTCACGATCGTTTCGTCGACAGGTGCAGGGCGTGCGCAGCTTGTGCTGAGTAAAGTTTTGGCAAAGGTTTGGTCCCAGGGCGTGACCGGTGATGCTTGGCGGGTGTCATAGAGAAGTTTCTGGGGATGGGCTGGGGGAGTATAAAGGGATGGGTGGGTACGTGAGGATGGAGGCATCAACACAGCAAAGCATACCACAGCCTTCAAGCAAAGCAACCACTACTATCAGTTCTTCGATCGACCCTCGAGCATTTACCTCACATCGATCATCACCACAACACAAACAACCACCATCAAAATGACCAACTTCCTCTCCTCCGTTGCGGCACACGCAAAGGCTCACCACGAGAGCGTCAACGCTGCCTACAACACCTACTACACCGGCTCCTCCGCAACTACCCCATCAGCCTCCACACAAACCTCCCGCAACTCCTCCATGGCGGGCCCTTCCTCCACTCAGCGCAACCCCACCAACGCCGCCAAGGCATGGAAGGCCATCAAGCAGCACCACCGCGAAATGAACTCTGCATTCGCCGTCTACTACAGCCCCGGCAATTCTCCCTCCGCATCCCGCAGCTCATCCCTCGCTTCCAGCCCCAGGCAGAGCGGCGAGGCACCCCGCAAGGGCGCTGCTACTGGAGAGCAGGAGATGGCTGCTGAGCTTGGCCCAAGGAACTACCAGAAGGCGTGGAGGGCTCTCAAGAACAAGGTTGTTGAGCACCACAAGAGCGTTAGCAACGCTTACGAGCAGACCTACGGCATCCACTAGACGCCTCGCTTGCTAAACACGGGGAAGATATGGGGATGTAATACTTGGGAAACGGAAAAGGGAAAACAAAAGTGACTTTTTGGGATGCGCATATACCACTGGGATTTGGCTCGGTAGCTAGGCGTTTTGGCATCTGGATTGAGATCTTGAGGGATCTGGTTAATATAAGAGAACAATAATATCATGATTGCGCGAACACATTTACATGCCCACGAACCATTGCAACTTGTGTTGTGATGCACAATTGACAAATATATTGATCCTGAGCTGTACTCGAAGGCAGATTATCCTTCCATATAGCAGCTTCAACGGCTGAATACACTTTACACATTTAACCTGCCCCTTCACCCACAGTCACTTTCCACTTCTCCAACAGCTCAACATCCATCCCAGATGCTTCAAGGTACTCCCGTGTGTGCCGCTGCCTTTCCTTCACCCACGTACCGTTCTTGTCTATCCCCTTCCCACGCTTGCGTTTCCAGTCAGCACCAACCCATTTTTGTTCATCATTGTCCTTCATCCAGTGTTTGACATGGTTTTTATTGACCCCAATGACCAATACGCCGCGGGGCGAAAAGGATATGCGATTTAGGCTCCAGAGAAATCCTGGCTCAGGATGCGCTCGGAGCGAATCTTGAGCTCCAAAGACGGCATCATGGATACTCCGGCCTGCACAGGAGGGCGGCTGAGGCGATCGGCCTTGACGCCCGGAGTCAAGCGTCCAGACATCGCATGAAAGCTTCGGGGCACGATGTATTAGCCTCATGAGTGGCAAAACATCGAACGTACGTGTTTGCTTCTTGTCAAAAAACACCGTAATCTTGGCGGGGTGATGGACGGGTTCGATCGTGCTGCTTCCATCTGAGCGGTCGAGGAATGTTTCAAGATACCGTCTGAGAAATTGGACCGAAACGTAAGCATGAGTGAGGGTGTTTCGCAGCGAAGGATATTCCGAGCGTAGGAGGTGGCAGACTTGGCCAAGAGCATTCCAGTCCTCCTTCATGCAGCGGAACTGCGCGCGTGCGGCTTCATTTGGAAGAGGCGGATAGAGGTTGAGGGGTGCCATTTCAGGTGCGTCATCCGTATTTTCTCCGGACAGTGGAGCGAGCTCATCGTGCTTGTACGATCCCCACTCTGCCTTCCATTCTTCAACAGCACATCGGTAGATATTTTTTCGTAGTTCTGTGCACTGATTAGATCCATGTAGGCTGTGATGCTTTTGAACCATATGACCTACCTGCTGGTAGAGACAACAGTCTGTTGCCCTTGTTCGCTTTAGCTGCTTCAGCTTGACTGCTCGCATTAGGCGCTTGCGAACCCGCCCCTACTTGGGATACATCGACCGTCTTGGGAGACTTCTTGCGGTTCGCTGCACGACATCGCTTGATGTGGGGATTGACGAGCGGTTTGGTCGCCTTACGCTTGCCCCTGGACACTATCAATTACTATTACAGTAGTCTCACCTTATACAAGAAAAAAGCCAAACAGGTCTAGAGCCTACATTAACGTTGAGTTACCTACTTTGCATGCTTCTATGTCAATGTAGGCTGCAGACCTGTTTAGTTTTTCTTGGTTAACGTGGTCTTGAGTGCGTTGTACTTACGGCATAGTGAAGCAAATCAGAGCGCTTTCCTCTGAAGGTCGATAGTGGAATTGAGTACCGCGGGTGGTATTGGCTATATTCGACGTGCGGAAACGAGAGGGGTCTGAAGCTCTGATGATCGCGCTAATTATAGTAGAGAGCTAGAGGAATTATAATGAATGTAACCACCTTTCGAGAAAGCGGGCAAGGGTTTTGCTGGAGCATATCCCTAGGTAGTGAATTATTTGCCCGGATGTGGAATCTCACGCCTGTAGCTGCATGAGATTCATTGCGTGATTCTCCGGTCATCCTATGGAGACAACAGGGCTTGGATCGGAGTGGCTGTGATGAGAGTGAATGTGCGCAAGTGAAGATATCCACGGGCGTTGCCACTAGCTTCATGGTCGGCGTTATCCCAATACAGCGAAACGCATTTCCCATCTTGTCTTAATACTGTCCAATCCAGCGGCCTTGAGGAATTGCAGAACTTCTTGCCTTCTTACCCTTTCTTTGTTCATGCGCGCGAGAGCTCGTTGCGGGTTAGCGGGGAAGCTTACCAAGTTTCCGTCCATCCAGTCTCGTCGTGACATAGGATCAAACATCGCCTTGAAAGCTGCACAATACCATATATCATGGTAATTATCAAGATTGCCCTCATAAACCCTTCGTTTCCCGTACGTACGGAACATGAACTTCGAAATAGTCAGGGCACCTCCCCGCGGTGGAAAGATGTACTGGCGCAGAGACTGTGCAATCGTTTTGTATTGGTCCCCATTGCCAGCAACCCATATGTTGCATTCCAGATACGGCGCGCGGTTGAAGAATCGCAAAAGTGGCATTACGTCATACATCTGGTGGGAATGGCGTGGTAGTGCAAGCGTGATGGGTTGACCATGATAGTTCCTAGCGACTGCTGGGTCTTCGCTTGGGTAGAAAATTTGAACAAAATTCCAAAACTCATCAAGAGTGACGAAAGGTTGGAGGCGAGCGCGCTGGAAAGAGCGATACTCTGTAAGTGTTGCGATATCAAGTCAGTGTGTATTTGTAAATCATAGTGAGCGCCAGACTTACCACGCATAAACTGACGTGATACTTGCCCAATGGCCAGTAGATCTGTCTTCATGGCACAGTACCCATCGTGTATCGCAGCTTGAGTGGCTGCGTTGACACGCCGCAATGGATCAGTGTCTGCCCATGGAATGACATTGAAGCCGTTCGGTGCGCTCATAACCAACGGATATCGACATCTACGTATTCGAGCAGTGGGAGGGCCGTGAGGATCTACTCCCCTACGCGTGATCATGTATGGTCGATGAGTTGCTATAAAGTGATCGAAGACGAGTTGATATATCCTGTTCCTAATCTCTGCATGATTTTAGCACTCGTGCGCGTTGCAGAAGACGTCTCACTAACCTCCCGGAAATCTGAGAAGCGGATTGGTGGCGTTCACTACGGTAGCTGCTGCGGCAGCCGCTGCTCTTCTGGCGCGTACTCGGCGAGTAGCCGCAGTCTCGGCTTCGCGACGGCGCTTAGGACTGCAAGCATTAGTGATGTTATGACGCTATTATGTGAACATACGGCATATAAGATAGTCTTTAAGTGCTTGAATACGGGTTGTATAGATATGTAACGACCGTTCAGACTGAAAACTTGCATCGCACCGCCGCTACTTCAGAAGAGCTTGATGTAATTCGAGTAACAGACAAAGGATGCGAGTGTAAAACTGATGGCCAGTAGTGGCTTTGTGGAGACGGGGCTATCAAAGGCTCATTGTCTGAGAACAAGACATTGCCTACACTGAATGCGTAGGGAACTTGAATATTTTCAATCGATCCACGCACAGTCGCCTAAGTTGACGTGATCGTCAACAAAAACCCGACCATAGCTCTTGATCTTCGGTGCAGCCATTTGTATGTCTTTGCGTTTCCTCTCATCAACTTGCATGGCATACAAATAGTCGTGAAGGCCAGAATCCTCGGCTATGCGGGCGCTTGGCAATGTGGATTGATCCAGACCGAGTATAGTGATATATGCCGTCGGAGAGTCTGTGATAGCGACTACATCGCCACCATCAAAAGGCGCTGCCGTGAGCTGGCCTTCGCCAGTTCCCTGCCAGCTCGCACGGGCCGCGACATCTACCACCTCGCCCGTTGTGACATTGAGGGTAAAGGCTGTAATGACTGCTTGAAGCGAAGACTGCGAAAGTGCCCACAATGTGTTTCGAGACGCAGAAATAGCCAAAGATGATGACTGAAACTGTGACGCATCCAACGAAGTAGGAAGCAATCTATATCGCAGGACCGGAGTAGAATTGCTCAGGAGAGTGTCACCTGCCAAAGAAACGACAATCAGTTCGTTTGACTCCTTAGTGACGATGTACATTAAGGTTTCAGTGGGATGGGCGACAATTTGTGAAGCGCTTGTGACATTACCAAGGACATCAATACCCACCACGTCCTGCAAATTCGGGTCTTCGGACATACGGAAGTTCGTGATTGACGTCAAGAGACTTCCGGAAGAGTGTGAGTCCAATGCGTGCAAGTTACGCCCGTTGGGAGCCCATGCAATAGAGTGTACGTCTCCGGCGATCTCTTGGGAGTTAATAGTATCATAACCGTCTGGCGACACTCCAAAGACGATACTGCAAGTTCCTGTGCTAGCACTGCCCCATATAGCAGTGTTGTGCATGGAAGATCCTAGCTTTAGAGACAGGAAGTTCGTAGTGTTGCCTACATTGGTCAGAAAGCTTCATGCAGATGCCATGATGAGAACCAACATGATGAGGGTATCTCCATGGTGCCTTCACTGATGAGCTCGTATGTAGGCGCAATCGAGTGGCGGGTCAGGGTTCCATCCTGCGGACGACTGCTGAAGAGGTGCTGCTTCGAGCGCTACCGAATAGGTCAACGGGAATGACCCTTATTGAAGATTGATGCACGTACGTCGAGCGCCAGAGACGGCGATGCTCCACCCGCGTCTCTGGCCTGAATCGTATACACTTTCCTGGATTCATCGTCCGTCTCCAGCGAGTACAAGGCCTGCCCATTTGTAGTGCCGACTGCGAGATGGTGCAGTAGCGCGTTCATAGACGGTACAAACAGTACGATTGCAAGGAGAGTCAACATGGCGCCGTATGATGAGTTGAGAGCCAGACCAATGTGAGTGTAAGGATATGGTTCTATCGTCTCGCAGTTTATCAGCATGTGAGCCAGCCCCTGCATGACACATTTCCGTGAAAGCGCATTGTGGGGTGCAGCTGGTGAGAGGGCTTCCAATATCGAGGGCGAATCTCTGGTGATTAACCATGCCGGTAGTTGCCTCGATCCAATATTGCCCAAAATCAGTGGCGCCTGCTGATCACGCGCGAAGGCATCTGATAGTTATTGATGCTTGACACATGATCATGGGTATGGTGACATGGCTGACTCTCTGCGAACTGCTCCTGTCGACCAGACGCGTCTCGCGGACGCCCGGAAGTGGGGATGGATATTGAGAAAGAGCCACTGTCTGATAAGTCGGAGATCTTCATTACCGGTATTGCGCCCTGATCGCAGAGGATTCGTGCGCGAAGACGATGAAATACGTGGTCAGGAGGATGGTATATTGATGCTGAGATGAGGGTCATAGAAGGAGGCTGGGACGCGTGCATCGGGGCTGTCCTGTTAGGCGCTAGTGAGGGCTTACGTCATAGCCGCGAAAAGCACCCTGGGCGTCCCCTTTCCGTCCCTCTCGCAACAAGCTTTCGAAGTTAGAACCAGCCACTGCGCGTTGAGTATCAAACAACATTTGGGGGATTGACAGCGTTCTTTATATTTGATTGAGCAATTGTGTAAGATGTACCTTATATGCACCTGCTAATGGTAAAGGACAATACAGCGCGCGCGTCCACTTGCATGTGCACCTGCAGTGTATGCTAAACTGCATGGTCAAGGAAAGCCTGAACATCTTCTGTATCATGCGAAGGCCCAGACTCAAGATCGTCGCGATAGAAACTCGGAAGAAGCTCATCTACCTCCTCCAATGCCAACCGCCGAGAGAATAGCTTCCGCCAAGGCCAACCTAGGAACCCACACAAAACACGTCCGCATTTCGCCAGTTTCCTTTTAACAGACTCGTACTTTTCGTCGAGGTACATTTGACAGCGACCGATCACCCTGGCCGGCAACTCATCCTCGTCCCACAGCAAGTCCCAACGGCAATTCAGCAGTACAGCTCGAAATGAAAGACGCGTCTTGAGTTTTACCCCGTGATCGTGACGAAACGACTCAAGTCCAGGAGTACGCGCGGATACTGGCGTATACCTCCATCCTGCCGGGCCCGCAGAGAGCGGCGAACAGTTCGTGTAGCTTACATGCAGTGGAACTGGAATATGCGGACGTTGGAGGCCCTGTCTACCACGAGGATTAGTCTTGGGGTGATAAGAGAAGTAGTCCTCTTGCGCTGTGGGTTGGAGTGTCGGGTATGTTTCGGTCCGTGTAGTTACGCGTGTGTTTGTTCGACCGTTCATCGTCCTTTGTCCCTGTTCTTGGAACATGTATTCACGCCGTCTGAGAATGGTGAATAGGCGGGTGAACGCTAGGATATAGTACTGATACCACATTGTGCGGGTAGAACATGCGCGCTTTGTCTGGCACATGATGTCTGATTCTGAGGTCTCACATGCGCCTTTCACGCACACTGCCGAAGTGGCTGGGTGTTTGACAGCCTGTACATCGTTGAGGATACTTCGGTATCGTTCAGAGTGTCGCGTTGATGCCGGATCGTCGACTCTTCTTAGTGCACGCCGCCTATCCTGCCAACATAAACCCATTCACCATCTCCTTGTACACGCCATGGGCTTGCAAAAATCTGACTCTTTTCCTCAGCGTCGTTTTCGGTGACGTCCAGGTACCACTGTTTCCACGTTGAATCCCATGTCCAGTCTTCCCACGCACCTAGCATTTCTACCGCGACATCCGGCGTCAGATTTACACCAGCCATGCTCACATGCTCCCAAACATTCCTGATCTCATTCAACTTCCAGCGCGAAAGATACAGGTATGTTTGCTGAGAGGGTATGTAGGTGTAGAACTCATGCCAGGCAGGATCCCAAGTCCAAGAATACGCTGACAGGGTCTGCTGTGGGGTAGTCTGTTCACCGGGGCTTGTAGAGGTGATCAATTGGTCGAGCAGCGTGATCGCGTTTGAGAGGTCGATAATGTCGAGAATAGTTGGTAGTGATATGTTGAGTAATTGATCTGATGGATGCCAATCTCCTCGCGATCGTAATCGTTGTTCCAACACCCGTAGTTGCATTTCCAGAGCTTCCAGGTGAGTCTTGATCTCTTTGTCAGGCGAGGTTATGATAAGCATATTTCCCGTGCCGTTCTCATCATCGGCGGAAGAGAAGGGTCTTAAAACAAACCCCTCACGCCCTGCTCTGGTGTCTGCGATAAATTTCCTTGTCGTTTGCTGGAGTGTGACAACGGCCTCTGTGAGATCTAGCGCTCGATCTCCATTGATTGCTGAGGATGCCATGCTCAATCTAGTTGTGCTTTGATCGAAATCTTTTAGTGCAGTAGAAACCGCTCGATAAGTAATGATGCTTGAACAAGCATTGCGCACCTTGTCACAGGTGATGTTGTCAAGCAACAGATCGCCGATACAGCCGAAATTTAGCCCTCATCGCCACCGTGGAATATTTCATTCCCATAACAAGATGCGAGAACCTTCAAGGACGCGGGCAGTCATCTTTGCGTGTGTTTCGTGCTGAGAAATTCGAAGTCACAGTATGAAGCGCAGGAAATAACCTGGAAGCTGAGATTTGGCGCCGCTTTGGTTGCTGACCTCGGGAGGTTGGGAAAGGGCGATGACGTCATTGCTCTCAAGCTCCATGACTTCCTTGTGCTTCGCTAGCCTCATACGCGTTGCGTACAAACTCGAATAACTACCAAATCATGAGGAACGACACAGATTATCATCTCTACAGATACCGAAACATCGAAAGCCGGGGATACCACAATGGGGCTGATTCATTCACAGATGCTGGTCGTCGACAGAGACGTAACTCGTAAGACTTCGATAGAAGCAAACTGGGAACTCGACGATGTTCGTGACCCATTGACTTGGATGCAGCTTTCGATTATCGAACAAAAAATCCAACCCAGAGAATACTCCCGTGAGTGTGTACAGTATCATTCCATCTTCCACCACCCTCCCCGAACATTCACCCAAACCCCACATAGTACTTTCTCAACGAGACTCGAGTCATGCCACACCAGCAATATACACACATAACACGTCCCATTTCCGTCCATAGCCATGTCTCTCAATTTGAACCACACATCCCAGACAAAACTAACAAAAGAACCAAACCCTTACTTCACCACAACCAACTTCCCAACTAGAAAAGGATTACCTAGAAATGGCGTCCACACTATCCTACACGTTCAGCCCACCGGCATACTACCCCTCATCCACATCCTCCCCAACATACCACCCCGCACTCCACTACCGGCCCTCCATCCCCCCAGACTACCTCCCAAACGACGAATACCGCTACCTAGTCAAGCAACAGCATCGCTCTCGCCTAGAAGCGCACTTCGCACAACCCTCTCTCTCCTCGACCCGAAACATGATACCAAAGACGCCGTACCAAAAGCAAGGTAACTTGAGCCGTGAGCGCCGGGCGGAGATATCTGCCGCGAAGTTCGCTACGCGTGCGGCCCTGGGGGCGGGATTTGATTTCACTGATGAGGGATTTGATAGGATGCGGGCACTTGATAACCCACAGCGGTCTTGGACTAGGCCGGACGAAGACGAGGACTCGGATGAGGAACCTATTCCAGCGAGGTATATCGCCGAGTTCAACGAGGAGATGCGGAAGTTTGAAAGGATGCATGATCAAGATCAGCATCGTTCTGACGTTCACGCATCGCGACATAACCAACCAGGTACGTATACTGATACTAAGCCCCTGCCGCCTTACAAGCCTTCGCTACCGCCTCCTGCCCGACGTGACAGCGGATTCGAGGAGAAGACTGTATGTGAGCCGACACCCCAGCTTCAAAGTAAGTTCAGCTGGGACAATCTCAACGATACCGATGACAAGTCCCCAAAGCGGCTAAGTTTCTGGTTTCGTCATCGCCGGAGCCGCAGCGTAGAAGCTACCAAAGTGCCTGAAAAGAAGAAAAAACGTAGAACATGGTAGGTCAGCAATGAAAAAAAAAAAGTGTAAAAGTGAACACGGTGAGAATGCAGTGTGATGTGTGTAGTCACGAATATGTACATTGAATTGTTGGTGACTGCCATGAGGCTTGGCTGTAGTGTATGGTAGCTCTTCATTTTCGATGCGTCTAAGCAAAGCCGAAGAACTTCATGTCGTCCGCACCCCGAATGGGGACGGTGTGGCCGACACCAGCAGCGTAGATACCCTGAACGTCAGGACCGTAGATGGTCCTGGTGTATCCGCTCTGGGGGTCGTTGGCCTTGGTGCTCTGGGGCTTGTCGTAGTTGTAGCCGAAAACGCCAGCCTTACCAATATCATTAGCACGTGGTTGTTCAAGAACTCAAATCGGGAAACTCACCCATTCCTTCATGGTCTCCTGGTAGTTCTGTGGGCGCAAAGTGGTGTCGGCGCTGCCGTGGTAGACCTGCATCTTGGGGCGGGCACCGGTGTAACCGGGGTACATGTTCTTGACGACGGTGGCCCAGGCTTGGGGAGTGGCGATGGAGTTACCCTGGGCGCAGGTGCTGTTCCAGGCGTCGACTCCGTTGGCGGCGGAGGCGAAGCAACCGGCGGCGACACCGGAGTAGGGGATGGCGGCCTTGAAGATGTCGGGGTAGGTAGCGGCCATGACGTTCTGGAGGGGATTAGCAAATATAACATGATCAGGACTCCATCAGACGTACGGTCATCATGGCGCCACTGCTGGAACCGGTAACGAAGACCTTGGACGAGTCGGCCTTGTACTCCTTGACTGTCCACTTGACCATGTTGGCAATGGTGTTGCTGTCTCCTCCTCCCTCGTGGCTAAGAGTGGCCTTGCTGCTGACATCCCAGCACTTGCCCTCGTGAGGGGACTCTGGGTAGATGACAATGAAGCCATACTGCTCAGACAACTTGGCGTAAGGGCTACCGGTGTAGTATGCCTGCGCGGTACCAGTGCAGTAGTGGATAGCGACAATAACTCCTGGCGACGCCGCAAGCTTCTTGGGCACGTAGATGTAGAAGCCAGCCTTGGTGGGTGCAGCACCAAAGGAGGTGACCTGGGAGAGAGCGCCAGGTGTCACGGCACGCTTGGCGATGTCGGTGGTTGCAGCCGCAGCTACGGATAGGAAGCTGGTGACAGCAGTGAGGAAGCGCATGGTGTTGACTTGGAATGAATGAACGCGGTGGGGAATCCAAGAGTCTTGGGATACAGACCTCCTTATAAAGCTTGTCTTCAGCCGGAGCGTGCGTGCGGTTCAAGGGATGCGGTCTGCATTGAAACGATCTCCCCGAAACTTCCCAGCAATCAGCAGTAGCGGAAATGAGGTCACGCAGTTCTCGACTAAAGTGTTTCTCCCCACATCTTCGGCGCCACAACGTAGATGAAGGGCTGACAGTTGTCATTCGCCCTCTAGTGGGACTTGGAACGAACTAGTGAGCGGTAAATTAAAAGCTTGTTTCCATTAATCCTAGCTCGGCATTGGTTCCAGGCGCGACGTTTCGAACATATACCGACCCTTGACCTTTACCATGTGTTTACCCGGTCCGGGGAAATTCACAACAGTAACCCCACAGGACAGGTAAGCAGGCGCGCTATATGTATAGAGGTCGCATGCGACATGGAAGAATTGTTTGCGAGTCCGCCGAGCCTGTGCGGACAGGATGAGGGGGTTTGAGTAGTGCCGAGGAGTCTGACACGATACTGACTGTGGGTGCCATGCTGATGCGCCGGGTCCAGATCTAGACGTTGAGGAGGCCGGTGCGCTTGGTGAGCTCTGGTTTCGCCGTTGGGTCGTTGCTCTTGAACAATCGAGGCTGTGTAAGCGGTCGGGCTATTCGGCGCGCCCAACGCTTCGAGCGCAACGCTTCTGGCTTCACGGATCTTGATGTCGTACTCTCTTCTTCATCTTCCAGCCCACATGCCATCGCCCCTTCCTAGACCGCCGAAGGTCAGTCCGCCCATAACACCGCCACCGCCGCCAATGTTCTTGCCTTCATTGACAGGTCTCTTGGCGACTCTTCCCTGTGCCTTGACGCCTTGAATGACTTTGTCCAACTGCGTCTCTACCACGACTCCGCCCACTATCATCTCACCTAGTGTCGCATGTAATGTCTCGAAGTTGAAGATCAAATCCAGCTCGCAAACATTTTCGAAAAGACCATCGAGCGCTTGGACGAAGACCTGGATGAGATCAAGAAGCGCGAGAGGCGATTCGGTGGATGTAGATATGACGATGAAGTAGAGAGTCGCGTAGTGGCGGTAGGTGACGAGGGAGGGTGTGTCGTTGTGGGGAGTCGTGGGCGTGCTGGACTTGGAGCTGCTGGCGAGGAGCGGCGGGAGGCTAGGTACATGTTAGCGAGAATACTCTGTAAAGCCATGGAAGAACGTACGGTAAGAAGTTACATGCTGAGTTTGGGCGGTTGGCGACGAGGGTGAAGATCTCGGAGATGAGGCGCTGCTGGACGCTGGTTTCCTAGGTGGTGGTGAGTACAAGAGCCCCAGAGCACAGTGTCAGGTCACGTGTAATGTACCAGCTGTGTGTAGAACTTGGTCAGTCGCGGCTGGCCGGCATTGTTGAAGACGAGGACGGCGTTGATCATGGTGTGGATAGGTGGTGGTGAGGCGCACACTGGCGTTGAACATGTCCCACCGAAGGATGCGGGGAGGCGCGCGAGGGTCCATGCTCCTCCAGCTTGCGTCCAACCCAGGAACAGAACACGCTCCCGCTACTCCGCAACTTCCACCACCAACAACCCTCTCAAGTACACCAACCCATCCAATTCAGTCACAATGAAGCCAGCTACTCGATTCGTCAGCACCGCCGTTCGTCGCGCCGCCCGATCTTCCCTCCGCGTCCAGTCGTCCGCCAATTGCATCATCGCCAGCCGAGCTCCTGCCATCAGCCATGCTACCCCCGTTCGCAGCTTCCACGTATCAATGGGCATGAGGGTGGGTATTATGCCTGGTGAGGAGGACCCGAAGCCCAAGGAGAGTGAAGCCCACGACGAACCTGGCAAACCCACGGAGCTCTCAATAGAAGAATTCCACGAGCGCGCAGACTACTACCTGGGCGAGCTGGTACAGAGGTTAGAGGAGGCTCAGGAGAATGACCCTGCCATTGAAGTAGACTACTCCGTAAGTCACTATTACAAAGCCCAACGTTGGATTGGATACTAATTCGATTGCAGGCTGGCGTGCTCGAAGTCACTTTCCAAGAGAACACATTCGTACTGAACAAACAACCCCCGAACAAGCAGATCTGGCTCAGTTCCCCAATCTCTGGGCCGAAGCGATTCGACTGGGTCGTCGCACAAGAAGGCATGGACTTCAAGGAGGGTGGTGGCATCGGCGACTGGGTATACATGAGGGACGGCAGCTCGCTCACTGAGATTCTCAGGAAAGAGCTGGGCGTTGACGTCAGTGTGGATGACCAGGTCCCGCGTTAATGGAGCGTGCTATAGTCAGTAGCACATGCTCTAGTACGTCGTCCCGTCGCAGAGCACGTTTGGGCAGATAGTCTCTTCCGGCCAGGAGAGTATACACGATGATACGGTAGCAAATAGCGAAAAGCGACAACAATTTATGATTGCGCATTCCCAACTTTGCTTCCAAGCATCCCATGTGGTATATCTCTGGTCTTTGCCAGATTGCGACCACGTTGTATAGCCAACTTCCCCCAAACGCCGATACATGCATTCTAACGCCGTAGATACTGAGAGACATGGTATGGAACCTCGTAAGGTGGTATGGAATGATAGTCGAGAAACTTAGGCGGTGATCGCGACGCTCTTGGGTGCATCGTCGTTCTCTGGTGGGAGATCGGACTGCAACATGTCAGTGCTCAAGTCTCGCCATGTATTGAGTAGAAGCATACCGGGTCGAAGATGATTCGTATCATCAGACTACAACTGGGACAGCGCGCAATGTCCTCTCCGTCGCGCATGTCATAGATGGAGATCTCAAAACGGTCGCCGCATGGGCACGGGTGGTGGTAGATCTGCAGCGTCTCGTCATAGAAGCAGTCTTCGATTTCGATCTCGTCGTAGAGGTTCAGCTCTTCGTCGGCCATGTTGGGTAGGTGTGCGTGGAAAGAGCGATTGAGTTTGTCGCCGACTGCGAGGAAGTGGCGGGGAACTTTTGGCCGGCACGCTAGCCCTGGACCTGCATCCGCCCGTCCATTCACGTCACCAGAAGCTCCGAACACGTACCGTAACGTCGAGGCCGCCCGCCTACCCCGTCCGCGACTCCATCTGCACCCTACCATGGGCGCGCACCTGAGACACGAAAAAAACTGAACAGGTTTGCAGACTACATCAAGACAAGAACCTTCAAAGTGGGTGACCTAACGTCAACGTAGGCTCTAGGGTGTTCAGCACGTCTAGAACCATGGGCGACGTCGAGTCCGCCACGGTGAAGCTCGCGGAGCTGCTGCGACACCCAGAGGACCTCGACAAGATACCTGCGCTGAAAGCAGAGTTCATGCGCAAGAAGGCGGCTGTAGACGGACAATTACGCCATGGGTTGAAACAGCAGCTTGAGTTGACCCAGTCGGGTATGAGCAGCATCACCGAGGGTCAGCGCACCGTCAACCTGATCAAGGAGGGTAAGTAGCTGCCACGGATAGCTCTCAAGATATCTTGCTAACTTATTACTAGTATGTAGCTCCCTTGCTATGCTTTGCCAACGCGGTTCTGAGACCTCTTATTATTCGTGCTAACAGATTCATAGGAGATGATGAAGATAGACAAGCTATGCGCCGAGGCCCAGAATATGATTCAGGACTTCCCGCACATCAACCTGGTTGCGCAAACACACAAGAACTTCGAATCGGTGGAGAAGATGCGCAATGACATCGAGGCCTTTGAGGAGCGCCTGGAGAACCTCGAGATCCTGCTGGCACAGGACGACGAAGACCCCGCGAACCAGCCGAACCTGCTACAAGTCCACTACGGTCTGACGCAACTACGAGACATCCGCGACGAAGCCATGGGCCAGATCAAGAACAGCGACACTTCCACCGAACTCATCGATAACCTCACACTCGAGAGCGGTATTACGGTGCAGGACCTCTTCGCGCGCTTGGACGACGTCGTAGAGTGGTTTGACAGGCATATCGGCGAGGCGTGCATAAACCTCATACAGTTGGTGCAGACCGACAACGTAGGCATGGTGGTCCGCTTGGCCGTCGTGATTGAGGAAGAAGAGAAGACGGACAAGAAGATCAAAGCGCTGCAAGATGCACAGAGAGAGTTCGGAGATCTCGCCTCTCGCTTCAAGTCCATCACACAAGGGCCCAAGGAGCTTCGCGGCTACAAGGAGAAGTTCATTACCTCCATCGAATATGTTTGCAAGGCAGAGATGGACGGAGTGAGAGAACAGTTCCAGGAAGACCCCGAGAAGGTCGAAAAGTACTTCAAGTGGTACTTCAACAACCTGAACACAGTCAAGCTGGGTATGGTCGAGCTCATGCCGAAGAAGTGGAAGATCTTTGACACATACACCAACATCTACCACAAGCAGATGCACGACTTCCTCATGGAGTTTGCCGATGATGAAGCTCTTGGGCCGCAATACTTGCTGGCTGTCATCAACTGGGTGGACAAGTACTACGTCAAGATGCAGAAGCTTGGGTACTCAGAAGAGCAACTACAGCCACATGTCATCGACAACCGCAGTCCCGAGCTGATACGGACCTACCGCTCCGTCATCATCCAGGCTGTGGATCAATACATGGAACGCATCAATACACAGGACCGGCAGAGATTCGTGCAGCAAGACAAAACTGCATATGAGACCAACTTTGACGGCATCCTCCAAACGAAGGCTCTTGGAGACGTCTGGACGCTTTTTAGCCAGAACATCGGTGTCGCTGCCAGTAGTCAGCGTCCCGACGTTGCTGATGGTGTAGTCGACTCCATGTTCCGTGCCCTATTGTCTCGCCAGCGTATATGGACGCAACTGATCGACGAAGAAAAGGCCAAATACCTCGGACCTACTCCCGCGCAAGATGAAGATGATATATACGTCTTGCAGGAGTGGCTCATCGCTCTTGCAAATGACCAGATCATCTGCATTGACGATGACATTGACGGCAGTGGTCAAGCCTCCTTCCTAAGCGTCTTTGAGCGTGAGGTCACGCCTATCGTCTCTCAGGATTACATGATCGACAAGCTGGCCAAGAATGTGGACGAGGCCAAGAATGGCTATATTGACATTTCATCGCACTGCATACAAGTCTTTAGCGAGCTCATCTTCATGGTCGATCTTAAGCCTGTGCTTTCCAAATTCTTCACCGTCGAGTGGTACCCGAGGCAGGATATGGCATCGATCATCACAACGTTTAAAGACTACGTGGATGAGTTTCTCCCTAGGATCCACCGCTCGCTACAGGATCTTATCATCGATTCTCTCGCTGACGAGCTGCTGGTTCAATATCTCGGGGCTGTGCGCAACAAGGGTGCCAAGTTCAAGAGGACGGATCAGTTTGCAGACAAGATGAAAGATGACCTTTACACGGCGTTCGACTGGTTTATGTCGTTTGGTGAGCAAGGTCGCGATATCAAGGACCGATGGCGCGCTGTGCAACAGTTCCTCAAGCTGCTGGAATGCGACAAGTCGCAGGTGCAGTTTGCGTATGTGGAGTTCAAGAATGCTTATCGGGATGTTAGTATTACATGGGTGGAAGCTGTTTTGAGAACAAGGGATGACTTTGACCGGGGCATGTTGAACGCGGTTAAAGCAAAGGCCGCAGAACCTATAGCAGAGGATGCGCCTCCGGATCCGATCATGGGCAGGGTGAAGTAAGGCTCGATTTGGCATATGTCAACTTCGGAGAAAATGGCATGTCTGGCGTTGGAGGTGTTTACACATGGGGTCAGTGTTGCAGCCGCCGGCAACGCGGCATCACTAACGACTCTAGAGCAACACGATATACCCCGGATTTCTGCTCGTCACTAGATTAGCGAATACGAACTTTCTCACATCATGTTCACTGAGCGGAAAGTGTACAATCGCATCGTACTGCTGACTTTCTTGCGGTATGACGTCTGCAGACCCCTATCCGCAGTTCGCGCGCTCTCATCAAACACAAAAGCAGCGATGGGCGAGGATGAGCAGCAAGATCGACAGGTACATTTCCTCGTCGACGGGAGCATTCATGATCGAGGTGATAGCCTAGCCCCATCACGGCTAGCGTCAGGGGTCCGCCCACCGGCGTCTCAGAACGGTGGAAGGCGCCGCGTGCTAATATTGAGCCGTTCCTATCAAAATGACCTTAATATGCAGGCCGCATTTTTGGTTGGAAGCTGTGATTAGGGATGTTTCGAAACAACTCATCCTCGAGATGTCGCGTGCAGCGATGGAAATAGAACTCAACGCCTTTGTAACAGCAAAAGCAGTCTGAACAATCGTAACGAGGCGCGCGAAACACAAAAAGCGCAGCATGACGCGCAACACTCCCCCACATTCATCGCGGCAATGGCAAGGCTTTTGCAAACCTCATGCCGCGCACCTACCATCCGTCGATCAACAAACACAATTTCCGCTATCGCCCACCCCAACCTGTGAGCAATTCAGCATGCTCGCCACACCTGACATGCAAGGATGACCCAACCAATCTAGACCATCGCCCGCGAGGAAATGAACCAACTCAGTCGATCGATGGGCAAGGCTGGCGCGTCCTCCACCCACCCCATCACCTGTCATATGACTACTAATAAGAGGGCTGTATAAGACCCATTGGACCGCCTCATATCCCTCCTACTACTCTTCTTCTCTCATCATCCTACGATCCAAACATAATCTATAGTACCTAGTGTTCTATTAGCCACTCATTTTTTTCTTGCAAGCCAAGTCAAACTCACAGTCTTTACTACCACCAATCACTCAACGACTCGACTTTACGTCTCCTAACGCCTTATACCCAATTTACCTTCTCCCAACTTCTATCAACATTCAAGATGCGTTTCTCCGTCGTCGCCGCTTCCCTCGTCGCTGTTGCTGCTGCTCAGTACGGTGCTCCCGCTGCTGAGGAGTCCTGCTCTGCTGCCGTCACTGTCACTGTCACCGAGTACGTTTTTCCTCTTCCCATTCATTATCGACTTTCGTATTAATAAACATGTCCAGGACTATGCAGCACACCCCCGTCGCTCCCTCCATGAGCTCCGCCTACTACCCCACCACCGCCCCCATGGCCCCCTCCTCCGCCCCCGTCATGGGCGGCACCGGCGTCCCCATGGTCCCCGATGCGTCCTCCGTCGGCACCGGATACGCCATGCCTACCGGCACTGCCGCCCCCACTGGCAGCATGACCGGTCCTCCTCCCTCTGAGTTCACTGGTGCCGCTTCCGGCCTCAAGGTCGGTGGTGCGCTCGCCGGTGTCGGTGCCGTTGCTGCTTTCTTCTTGTAGATTGAGTAATAGGCGTGGTGGTTTGAGATGGATGGAGAAGGGGATGGAAGAGAGATTGCTGTTGTTGCGATACCCAAAGGGTTGCGTTCTTTGTTTAGTACCTTTTTTGAATTGATGTTTGAGCCCGGTTGTGGCTTTTTATGAATGTGGCTCTGCTGTTGGTGACGTTCTGGTGGTTCGTGAAAGATATCTGTAGTGACCGAATGAAGAGTTTTCGCTAACATTAAGGAGATCGCAATAGAGGAAACGCTCTTACGGGGATTATGTCTGGCAGATCTATTGACTGACTAGAAATCACCACTTTACCCCCTTCTCCGGAAGAGTCTCCTCAGAAGATTCTTGATATGGTTACCGCAACCAGCGCTGTCATTGCTACTCCTCTTCGCTACCCCTCCACCTTTCAATGGAACCACCCACTGGACATCTTTCTTTACCCTTGGCTGTGGGCGATGCGAGGACAGCGGGTAGTAAGGGTAATCGCCCTCACTAATGATCGGCAACGAACCCTGAACCTCCGGTCCCAATTCCAGGGCTTTCGTCTCCCGCCCTACTTCAGTCGCTGACCGTCCTGTCTGCTCCGTTCTATCCACGTGCTGAATCTGCTCATCTTGTTCACGGACAGCATCTTGAGCCGCATCAGTAAGCGCAATACTCCACGGTCT